ATTCCCTTGCAAAGTGAACAGCCTATCTGCCTTTAGTAAATCAACCCCTATATATCTAATTAGACATAAACACTTCTCTCCGGTCCATCAAAATTTTTTCATCATGTTGGTATGTATTTTTGGCGGGTTGAAGTAATGTTATTCCAGCTTGGCCAGTTTAGATGGCAAAAGACTCGGACCCCAGAAGAATACCTAAGATTATAAAGAGAAGATGGAAGCTCTGGTGACAGAGCATAGAGGGGAAGTACAGACATCGCAATTTACCTTAGTGCATGTTATCAGAAAAGCTCTCCTTGAGCTTTCTCAACCTTACCAATTTAAGTGAAAGAAGAGGGTAAAGTGGGTACTGTATGCAGGAGACTGGGGACAGCTTATCAAGGAGGAACAAAGCAACTCGGAAAGAACTTTTAACTTGTCTAATCAACTGTCTTCCCCACTGGCCAGCTGGCAGGGTTGTAGCCCTCCCATAGACATGAAAAATGTACGCGATGTGGCTATAACTCCTCTAGAATGCACATAACAAGCTGGATTTAGGTAATAGTTGCCCACAAATAATAACAGCAATTTATACTGGTTGTGTAGGTAAGGGCCTGTATTTTTTCATGTGCTATATGTTATATTTTAATTGGAAGTTGAGCTAATAAGTTTGAATAGATAAACAGGCTTAAACCATAAACCAAACTTTTGTTTATTAAGGTAATTAACTTTTTGGATTCAGTTTAATACAGTCCCAGAGCCCAGCTGATGATCAGACTCAGCCACAATTAGCAACTTATTTCTGTCAATTTGCCAAGAGTTTTGTTATGTGACATATTAGTGTATTCTTGCCATGTAAGGCTTCGATGATGTAACTGGTAAGGAAGCTTATGATGTCCTGGAACCTAGCCAACTGTGTTACCAGTGGAGAATGTTATATTATTGCACTTCCCTGTATTTGATGTCATGTTCACAGCTGCAGAGTAAGTGAATATCTTCTGTTCTAGGTTACTCAACTGTAAAGCATGTCTTTTATTCTCCCATGTTAATGGTTTTAATCTGCAGTTATTTCTATGGAAAATCACTGCAAGTAACAGTTGGTTTGTGCAAATGGAGCAATAAAAGTAATATCAATTAGGTGGCTGTGTTTTGCAAACAGAATGAAATCCATGCTGTTACTAAATCTTTTGTAAATATACCTCCTACAAAGGTTGTGATGTGTCCTTATATAGGAAAGAGTGGACAAAAGAGTATATTTCTACACCAGCCATTTCATGCTTAACAAATACACGTAAGGGACTTCTTAAAGCACATCTATGTCTTTTAATAATAACACATTGATGTGTGCACCAAATAAAATATTGAAAGTTAAGTAAAGGTTATTAGACCTGTTGCTATTTCATACCAGTTATTTAGGGCAGTGTTACAGTTAAAGCTAAGCAAGGATTCAAATAAAATAACCACTACAATATCATAGCCCTTTAGGTAAGCCACAAAGTACAACAACTACATTTATCTAGAGCGTGTTAGAGCGTTAAATTGCTGATGTCTCATGAATGAGGTTTGAGTTTGGGTCTACCATTGGTTTAAGATAAACCATCAAACTAATGCGGGAATTGTAACTGTGACGGACCCCAGGTACCCCGACTGGGTACCTCCGCCAAAGAGCATCTCCTGCCCACCAAACCCCACTCTCAGCCAGCAGATTCGCAGTAACCAGCCCCTAACCCCCAATCACGCAGCAAAACTCATGTTGAAGGTTCAACATAGAAAAGCAACTCCTTTATTAAACAAAGGACATTCACTTTAGAGACACTGGGAGGGATACAACCCCTCCCCTCCTCCTCATGACAAACACAGATAACAGCTTACACAGTGAATCAGACATTTACATACACAGTCACACAGTACAATAGGGTGAGCATCAGATAACAGGTGAGGATCCTGTTCTCTTGCTGGGCCATAATCGGTGGGTAAGAGGCCAGTCTGCAGCCCCCTCCAACTAGCACAGTGACGGTGCAGTCCGTCACAGTAGCCATGATTCATTGCCTGTCCATTGAACTTAGGTCAGCTGGCTTAGAAGGGCCAATAAGGGGGCTTTTGAATAAGCCAATTCTCTCACTAAAAAAGGAAGGGTTCCTAGCAGCCATATTGACTGCGCTTTAGCTGTGATAGGAAAGACATAGGAAGCGCTGCTGGTAATGATAAAGTGCACAGGGAGAGATTACTGTAGGGCTTGTAGGCATCGGCGGGTCTCTTAAAGTAGATGTAAACCCTTACTGAATGTACTGTAGGTAGCAAAAGGCTGTGTATCTTGGAGAATTGGGGTGTGTGGGAGGGAGAGTTGTTATCTATGTTCATAATTTGTTACATGGTAATGCTGCTGATGACATGCTGCCTTTTTACAGCCTGTCCCTTGCCACATGCACTACTTGTGAGACCAGTCTGATTTTTTTCCACATTACATATTTCCTAATTGTTTCTGGCTGCAGTAGTTTTTTTTAACCAAGCTTTTTTATGATGAAAACAGTGCAACATGCCTATATGCAATATGCATCAGCACTGAAGCTTACAGTGTCCTTTGGGAGAGCATGTGATGGGGTGATTTACAATCTTATGTAAGACAGGGGCAGAGTGTTGTCACCCCATAACACAAAGTGTCTAATTACAATAAAAATAGGCTTTACAAGTGATAATATCATGTTAAAGGAAATCTCCACTTTCGTTTTAACCACCTGACGTCCAGCCATTGTAATTAAACGGTCGGACTGTGGCTTCCTGGATGCAGGTGGACGTTTTTAAATTTCCTTGTGCCTGCGCTTGCTCGAGTGGGAAACCAACTGTATTTAATACAGCTGGTGATGCTTGTTTGCATACAAGGTTTCGGGCGGCTATAGACCCACCTGATCGCTTGTATGATGTCTGCAAAGGTGCGCCCCCTCCGCCGACGCCAGTCGCAGGCTCCACTGTGCCCCATGCGGCTCAGTGACTGGAGTTTGGAGGGAGATCAGCACACTCCCTCTGATCTCCCCTCCAGTGTCTGAATGTGGAAGTGATGTGGATTACATAATTTCCGCATTCAGCTGTCATTTCCCAGCTACAGAAGCCGGAGAGAAGCTGTTTGGATCAGCTTCTTTGGAGGTCCCTAGATGACATTAGGAGTCTTAAAGACACCTGATGTCTGCAATAAAGAGGACCTAGAGGACCTAAAGAGGAGGATGTCTGTAATAAAGAGGGCAGCCCCCTATGTGATAGCAATAAAGTTAAGGGTAACAAAAAAGAAGTTTAAAAAAAATTAAAGTCACATATAAAAAAAATTAAAAACACACAAAAAAATGTTTCAAGTCCCCCACTCCCTAATACAAACACAAACATCAGTCGGGTGCACCTACATGCGAAGGCGATGATTGCGCCCATTGCGTCACACATGTTACATATCACCACGAATGTGGGAAAATGCACGCAATTTTAAGTCTTGACATGTGTGTTGTCTATTTACCCAACGTGACCATGTCTTTTATATTTTACCACAAAATTGGGTAATAACAAATGTTTCATAACATAACGTAGGGAAAAAGGCAGCATTAAAAAGTATACTGAACTTTTTACTGCTGCCTGCCCTTCCTCACGGCCATAGAATTTCCACCTTCTATTTGCTGATGTCTGCCCTTCCCCTGCATTGTGAAAGGGGAGGAATCCTATGGCCGTAGGGTTTCCCCCTGCAGCTATAACTCTAGTGCCCTGACTATAATAAAATAAATAAATAATAACATGAAGCCTGCCCCATTTCCTCATCCTCTCCACTGCACTCTGACCTGCCTCCTCCTATTCCCATTTATTCAGCAATCATGTGGTTCAAGAGCTGCCTGTGAGTGCTGCTGACTGCTGTGGTTTACAGATAATCCTGTCTAGGATAAGAGATTCGGAGGCATGCTGGCCATCAGAGGGGTCCTGCCACCATCAGAAAATGCATCAAAAGAGGTTCTTACACAACACCTCCTCAGAGTGCTACATTTTGTTCTTCCTCTGGTGGCAGTAGATCTGACATTTTACCCTTGAATAAGGGTTCTAATAGGGTGGACACCTAATAACACATACAGGGACCACGGGGAACAAAAGAAGCCACCCTCCAGAAGAAAGGACTGTGTCAGCACCAATTCAGAGATGATTTGAGGATCTACAGCCGAGTGATACACAAATAAGATACATTTTTGTTAATAGTTAAGGTACTTGAATGCATTTGTGACTGGGTCCTGGAGATCCCGGAATCTGGGATCTTCAGGAACTGGTTTAAGGTAATTTTGAGCAGAACATTTAAAAAGAATTGATGAGGGACAGTATGCCACTCTCCTAGAAATTGGCCTCCCTAGACTTCATCCTCTTTTGTTTTAAACTCCAGTCTGCATTTAAAACTAGTTACATGTAAGTGGTATTTTTGTGTCACCTTGCATTCACATTATTGCCTGTTTAAGTGTGAGAAAGAAACCTACAGATCTCTATGAAAAACATTTTTTTATTTACCTATGAACATTTTAATGTAATGATATTCCTTGTATAGGGCTTTGGTACTAACTGAACAACTCTATGATCTGTACAACATCACTTCTTTCTTTAATCAGTAAAAAGCAGGCTTGTGCAAGAGGTCAATATATTGGCCATTTATACTATACTGTTTTACTTTATTAGCTCCTACGTATATTTATTAGCTTTATTATACTTTATTAGCTCCTAAGTATACTGTAGGAGCTAATAAACTTCGTTTAGTTGCCTTTGAAAGGATACCATCGTATATAAGTATCTTCTTTGGCCTTACTGTAAGGATGTTGTTTTGCTTTTTAACAAAAAGGCAAAACAGCCAAGTGAAGATGCTTTACCTGCATTTCTTTGCATTCACATAATGCTTTAATTAGATCTTGTTACAGTAGTTTTAGTGTATGAGAGCACTGGTAGGGATTACAATGTCAGTCTACCACAAACTAAAAAAACATTTGGTTAACTTTTGTCCCTTATTTTCTTTCTGTCAGGTTATGCTCCTGTGACGGGAATGTGCCACCCCCTACGTAGTTGTACTCTGAATCATGAAGATGGATTTTCTTCTGCATTTGTGGTTGCCCATGAAACAGGTCACGTGTAAGTGGTTTTTTTTTAACTTTTGAGTTTGTTTAATAAATCCAAGTTAAAGCTGATCCCATATATAGCTCCATAACAGTCTGCAATCTGAGATGTCAGCTTCTGCCAGCACTACTCCACCATCCAAATCCATTGACATAAAAAATAATTACAAATTGAGGCAAGCATTTGTGTTTGAGTGCATGCTAGAAGAACGTTTGAGAATCCTCCTATGTCTATTGACACCCTTAGATAGTAAAGCACTATACACAGTGACAGAATTGGTTAAGATTTTAAAAAATGGTTTACAAATGATTGGTTATCTGTTGCATCTTCACATCTGGAGATCAAAGAGCTCATGATGACTTCATATGAACATCATTGCTCTGGCCACCTGGAGCATACGATGAGGTACATATTTTGAGAGTTGGATTGTTTAGCGTTTTAGTAAGCACATTTTTTTTTATGTTGTATACGATGTGATTCAGAATTCACTCACTCTTAACCACATGAGATTGTATAATTGAGCAAACACCCATGCTGATTGACAGCATCTGCTACATTAGAGAGGGTATTATTAGGGATGGTCTCCGCTGTGGTATTTTATTTATTTATTTGTTTTTTAAATAATCATCCTTGTGTGTATTAGCAAATATTGAGGCTCTCATGCTTTTGTCATTAAACCTGCTGAGGTCAAACAGAAATGTGAATCAAACCTTTAAACTTAGTAGTAGAAGAAAGGACTACTGGCATCTTCCAAACACCAGAGATGAATTCAAGGAAAGGGAAAGAACAGCATTGCACAGTACATACACACTATGCACAGTATACGCAATGCACACAGGGATTGATTTACTAAAAGCACATAGGCTGTTCACTTTGCATGGAAATTTCCACTTTGCAGGGGTAGTTTCCTTTAGCTTGGTGAATGTGGTAAAATTTCACTTTGCAAAGAATACCTAATAATGTGCAAGGAAAGTAAAAATTTTAAAAAAAAAGTATTTTTGCTTGCAGATGATTGGGAAATGGAAGTCTTCAAAGCTACACCTTGTTCACTAAACTTGAAACTTTCCCTGCAAAGTGCAAATTCCCTTGCAAAGTGAACATCATAACTGCCTTTAGTAAACCAACCCCATATACAGTAGAACCGAAGGCACCTGAAAAAAAGCATGTGTACTACATTGTTAAAGTTAAGGCACATATACAAGGGCCCTATTTTTATATAAATTTCTATTTATAATGACTCTGCCCATGTTTAAATGATTGTAGTGAACATAAGGTCACTTTACTTTACTATATAGGCCCTGTTATCCAATAACTGGCTTCTCAAGCTATATGGGCACTATAATGAGCATCAATACAAGGAGGAACTTTTCCACTGATCTCCAGTATACAGGTGAAACTCGAATAATTAGAATATTGTGCAAAGTTCATTTATTTCACTAATGCAACTTAAAAGGTGAAACTAATATATGAGATAGACTCATTACATGCAAAGCAAGATAATTCAAGCCGTGATTTGTCATAATTGTGATGATTATGGCTTACAGCTCATGAAAACCCCAAGAACCCCAAATCCACAACCTCAAAAAAGTAGATTATTACATGCAATCAATAAAACAAGGATTGTACATAGAACAATATCGGACCTCTGAAAAGTACAAGCATGCATATGTACTCAGTACTTGGTTTGGGCCCCTTTTGCAGCAATTACTGCAATTACTTTTGCACGATATTCTAATTATTCGAGTTTCACCTGTATAGTGGCCCTTTTCACATTGACCAACATTGTAAGGGGCTATACTCTTCCCAAAACAAAAAATGTTTTGATTGGAAGTACATGTTAAGTACAAATTTAGCAGTCCACAGTGACCTACTATATGTATATAATCTAACTGTAAACGACCTAGCATTCCCGTACTTTAGCCAGTACATTTACAGTTTGCAAAATGTGTTATTTACAGTGTGTTCTCAGTTTGAATACCTGAGACTTCCAAAATACATAAAAAAGTGTATGAAAAGGAAATGGTCCAAACATACTAAAATAAGGCTGTTAGTGAAACCAGCAATGTTTTAAAAGCTAGATTTACAATTCTCTGCACTGTACAAGTGAAAAGTCTATACGTGTTATAGTCACTACATTCAGGCGTACTTTGCTATTAACATTAACTAGATTGTGTAAGCAAGAGAAAATTGTGAATATCAACCTTATTCTATAGATTTAGAAGTGTTGTCAATTCATAGCAAAACCAAGATCTTTATTGCCCAGATATAAAGATGTACGTCCAATTATTTGCTTGTATCCAGTACTTTTGTAAGCCACTTTACAGAGTTTGTTACACACAGTCTGTTCCCTGTTTAATGATCTAAGACCTCAATAAAACAAACATATGAAAAAGAAAAAATGTGCATTATAGAAGTCAGATGTCTAAGAGAAATAGGGCCAGCTGTTCATGGAACAAGTAATGCTTTGCCTCATTTCCCTGGTAAGGCACAAGTGAAAAATATCAAAAAGTGGACCTTGCTTTTTTTGCAAGCTTCCTATAAAAAGCTATTTGTAAGCATACAGATACCTCAGCCCCACCTCTGACACTTCCAGGAGGCATGGGTGGAGTCCAAAAGCCTTCCTGCAGAGCAGGAAGCTCAAAACTCCAATGAGAATATAGTCCAGCCCATTGCAGGAGTGCATTCTCATGTGATTTTGAGAACCCAGCTATTCCAGGAGGCAGCAGTGAGGCCTTGTGATATCACCTGTGTCTGCAAACATTGGAACCTAGGGCTGAGGTATTTTTTTTTCTAGGTGATCTGTTTGTTTGCAAATGGCTTTTTAAAGCCATTTGTGTTGGGGGGCCCGAGCTGTTAGTTAGCCAGCCAGTGGGGTGGATCTCGACAACATTGTCGGAATCCGTCCCAGCTGTGGCGAGGCTCTTCGCTCTCAGCATATAGCAGGCAATATCTGAGTTTTGGGTCACCGAAGGACATTAGTATATGTCCTCCTGTGACCCTAAACAGAACTATGGGCAAAAAAGGTTAGGCCCTAGTTCACTTTAAATGCTAAACCAAAAAAAAAAATTGTCTGGAGTTGAGCTTCAAGTCATCGTAGAAATGTATTTGTCTTTAATATATCTCCTGTGCTGAATGTGGACATGTGTGGATCAGAATGTATACCTTTAGTCCAATCCATCAGGTTGTGTGTAGATATGTTTGTAGCTTATGTTCTGTCTATAGTTTTATGTGTTATAAATATATGTGCATCCAGTTTAAAAATACTGAAGTTATGCAATCATTTGATTTTCATTGTGAGCATGACTGAATGTAGACTAGACTGTATTAACTAGACTGTATTATGTTCTTTCTCTTGAAGGCTTGGTATGGAGCACGATGGACAGGGGAACCGCTGTGCGGATGAAACCAGTATGGGAAGCATCATGGCCCCCCTGGTACAGGCTGCTTTCCATCGCTATCACTGGTCTAGGTGCAGCAAGCAAGAACTTAACAGATATATACAGTGAGTTATTGAAATAATGTGTGAAGTGTATATAGAATGATTTCTTGTGTATGTCCACTCAACAATCAGCTTTAATACAAATATGCATGTGTTGGCTGGTTAGATTTTGCTTAGCAGATTCAGACACGTTAGATGACCCAAGAGGGTAATCTGAACATCTGTATGTAAAACATGTTAATAGCAGATGAGTCATAAACCACAATGGAAGTCTAGACAATCTTTTGTAGTGTGGTTGTGCTCTGAGTACAATTGCTATCTGGAAGACTTCTGCTTCCTTATATATACAGTACGTGAATCTTTGGCCATGCCATCAATGCTGCATACCATACTAGGTTAAACATGGACTGCACTAAAATTACACAATTTCAATCTGTGTGTGTGTGGAGAGAGAATGAGAGAGAGAGAGAGAGAAACACACACACAGACACACACACACATACATGTCTGCTATTGGAATGTCATAAGTACATACCCTGTTTCCCCGAAAATAAGACCTCCCCCGAAAGTAAGACCTAGCACTATTTTTCAAGATTCCTGTAATATAAGACCTACCCCGAAAATAAGACCTAGTTTGGTGGTAGCATGTGAGGGGGAACTTGACGAGCAGGAGAGATGGTATCAGCCTGCAGGGACATACTGTATTAAGGGGGTGACAGGGGACTCCCTCCGGCCAGCGCAGTGACAGGGAGCACTCCAGTACCAGACTTCACCAACTGCTGTCCCCCTGAAGGCACTGCTTAATTCAGGGGTAGCCAAACTCCGGCCCTCCAGCAGTGGTGCAACTTCAAATCCCATGAGGCATTGCAAGATTCTCACTGCCACAGACATGACTCCCGGAGAGAGAAGCACCATGGCAATGATAGTTTCACCACAGCTGGAGGGCCGGAGTTTGACTACCTTTGGCTTAATGTAATGGTACTGAACTGTAATGTGTATTGGTAAATGGTACCGTACTTTACCGCGCTGTCCACTGTCTGATGTCCCCACTGCTACACCGCTGCTACCATCGTCCCTGATGGCAAAGGAAGTCGGCGCTGTCGAAAAGCAAGGCTGTGGCGGTGGAGGGAGAAGAGCCGCATTAGCCGATACTTCCTCTATAGCGCCAGTTACTGTGACAGGTGGTGATACCAGATATCTTTGGATTGTTGTACATTTTGTTGCACATTAAAAAAAAAAAAAGACATCCCCTGAAAATAAGACCTAGTGTTTTTTGGGGGGGCAAAAAAAATATAAGACAGTGTCTTATTTTCGGGGAAACACGGTAAGTAAGTATGTAAACAGTCCCACCTATGACCCATCCCTTTTTAAAATATTTTTTTTTTTTTTTTGCATTGGTATCGGCAACTTCATGATGTCCAATGGGTGTTTTTGCACTTCATGGTACACTGTGGGCTTGATGTGTCATCTGACACTCATACATAGGACTCATTTTTTAATGCAGACTTTTAACAATAAAAAGTTTTCCTCCTAGCAGTAGCAATGGTTCTGTTTTCTAATTAAAATTGCAAAGTGTTTGTTTCATACAGAACTGCAAACACAATGTTAGCTTAGCTTGGGGGTATATAGAGAAAGCTCTACCATGTCATATAATTAGGCGTTGCTCTTTGTTTTTTTGTTTTGCCAAATGCTCACATATGTGACATTGCAGAACATCTCTCCAAATAACCCCAAGCACGTCTGGGATAAACATGCTGTCCCTTTCAGTTAAAGCTCCTTTGTTGTTTGGTTGTTTTTGGATTAAAAAGCTAATCTTTGTGAGCTGTGTTTGTATTCATTGCTTTGGTAATGCTGACAATTTCTTAGGTATATATATAATACATATACGTAAACACATAAGGAAGGAATAAACATCATTACCCCTTATCCCTCTAATTATCTAGTTCCTATGACTGCCTCCTGGATGACCCCTTTGAGCACAAATGGCCAAAACTACCAGAACTTCCAGGAATCAACTACTCCATGGATGAACAATGCAGATTTGATTTTGGAGTGGGCTACAAGATGTGTACTGCTGTAAGTATTGACCAGCTGGGGTGACACATACACATCACTGAAATTACTAATTTAAAGGGTTATTCTGCTTTTTCTTTTTTATAAAAATAGCCTGCACAGTCAAGACACCCCAATAGATACTGAGGTACAGACAGGGACGGGGTGGAGAATCTGCAGGAGCCACAGGATGCGCCTGTGATCCATTGATAATGGTTGCAATGCTTTAAAAAAAATAATGCTTTTTTTGCTTTGCAAAAAATAATAAATGCATATTATTATTTTTTTAGAATTTTTTCTAAACGGTAGAAATTGGCTCAATGTATAAAAAATATTTTACTTTTTGGTCACTTAAAAATAGAGCTCCAGGCGAAACTTGTTTTTCTAGTACTGGATTTAGTATGGAAACTTTCTTTAATCTCACTATTTGTCACCAGAAAAAAAGGCTTGCGGGTTTTTTAAAGTGTATTTCACTTGCAGTCAAATTTAGGAAAACCCCTCCATAAATTTGTTATGTGATCCTGTTCACACAGCATATTGAAAAATAACTTTTTTTTAAATGTCTTACATTTTAGATGTTTTGTTAAATCATGGAAGATGACTGATTCCATGTTTTCTTTAGCCTTTCACAGTGGTCTGTCCTAATGGAAAATGTTGAGACTAAAATTTGAGGATTGTGTTTATCTTATAAGTTTCATTAACATAAAATGGACAAGCCACCTCTCAATGAACAAGACCTCTCACTCCTGACAGCCCCACCTAACAATTCAAAGAAATAGAAGCAAGAAGAATTTGCTTGCCCCTATAACCCTAATCCAAGTAGAAGCAATTTAAACTGCAAGAAGATTTTTTTTTTATTTTTGTAGCTTATGCTATGTGAATGGGAACATGTAACAAATTTAAAATAGGTGTTCCCATTTTGCAAAAGTGGAAATACACTTTAAGTTTTACAGCTGTCACCATAACAGGAGTAGAAGATACATCTTCCAATGGGGACACTTTTTACAGTGATAACTGTGATAGTAAGACTTCTAAGTCCTGTGATAAGGAGCCTGTAGATATTAAATAATGTGGCTGCTTTTGGCTGGGTGACAGTTTAATATCTACCCACAGACACCGCCAGCTGAGGCTCATTGGGAGAACAGCAATCGAAGAGGTTAGAAAACCTTCTTGATTTGTTGTATTTTTGACTGAAAAGCTGGCCGAAGAAGTGTCTGCGTTCCCTGCCCTGCTCCATAGGCAAAAACACAAAGGGACAACCAAAGTGACCATTTGCTTTTCAGAATCCAATGGCCAGTAGACATGTGCACTGCCAAAAAATTTGTTTCGTTTCGTTTTAAATCCGGATTTGTGTTATTTCGTTTTTTGGGATTCGGGTGTGAAAGTCAATTCGGATTCGGAATTCGGATTCGGACGAAATTCGGTAGCGGTAGTTCGGTCGAACGTTCGTTTCGGTTTCGTTTCTTATTCGTTTCGTTCATTCGTTCGCTCGTTTGCAGCAAAGTGACTTTTGAGGGGGGAAATGTTTTTCTCCTTCTCAAATGTCACTTTGCTGCAACGAACGAAACGAACGTTCGAACGAACTACCGCTACCGAATTTCGGAAACGGAAATTCGGATTCGTTTGCATTCGTTATATCTGTAATTCGGATACATCCGAATGTCCGAATTTCCGGAAATTCGTCCGAATTTTCGATTCGGAACGAAACGAATCGCACATGTCTAATGGCCAGCACAAATTCCTGAGGAGGGGTGGATCCTGCTTTCATGTATAAATGCCCTCTGGTGTCTATGACCAGATTCTGATTTAAGAAGAATGCTTGCTGACCTTTAATGTCCACCTTTGCAAGATGTAATGGAAGTTCTCTCTTTGTATCCCATTAATATTAATTGGCTATACAGCATGGGCATGCATACAGCAAAAAGGGCATGTTTCATATCTAGCAATGATATTCTGTAGGTTAACATGCAATGTTTTAGAAGCAAAGAACATGTAATTTATTTAAGAACAAGATATTACCATACTGCCTGGGTGTTAGTGTTTTCCATAACTTATTATGAAGACATTTTTTTTCCTTCTGTGATATCAACAAATATGTTTGTTTGCTTTACGAGTTGGCTACTTCCCATGTACATTTGAATCCTGAATTTTTTACTAATTAAATGTACTGAATGCTGCTCATGGATAGTCATACTCCGAGTGTTTGTTCTCACAGTTTAGGACTTTTGACCCTTGCAAGCAGCTGTGGTGCAGCCACCCAGACAATCCTTATTTCTGCAAAACGAAGAAGGGCCCCCCTCTTGATGGAACTGAATGTTCTCCTGGCAAGGTACAGAATTTCTTATTAGAGGATTAACCAATTTATGTTGCAGATATTGAATACTCCAGTTCATTAAAGTTTCTTGCAGAGTTTTTAGACTTTTGATATAATTCAAATAATGTGTACACTTATTTCCCAAGAATAGCAACAGTTGAATAAAATATTAAAGGGATATGTTTTTGTAGTTTATTATGAATGTTCTTCTTTTTATTTGCCCTTTGCTGATCTCCTCCATTGCATGACTGATGTAAAAGAACAATGAGCAGTGTTTTTATAACTTGCAGACTTTAGCACTTATGTGTGTAATCAGGTAGCACATAACCTTCAGAGTAACAAGTCTCCTGAAAGAACCAATGTTTAGACTAGCACATTCATTTTAGATTTATATAACTCAATGATGCCATTTGTTGGCCTGGAGGCTACATGCCATCCTTTTGTCCCTGCATATACAGCTTTGTGGAAAACTTAAATCACTCAAGACATGCAGAAAAAATGAAACAGTTTGACCGTTAGTGCACTCTGTCCAAAAGTACATAGTAATGTTTTATTGGGCACCTAATGAGGTGCAGCCATTGTGGTTGCACCAGGGTCCAAGGCTATGGGGGACCCAGGCACTGGTGGGCATTGGTGGGGCAGTGCAGAGTACCTGGGGTTCGCACTGGGACTCTGGGCTACATCCCTAGAAACAGACAGCGGGAGAGGGGAGAGCCCAGGGCAAGCAGTGCGGGGGCGCTGAGACAACTGGAGGAGAGCTGGCGATGGGGGAGGCAGACGGAGGAGAGCAGGTGAATATAGAATCCGGACTGTATGGGGGGCCAATCAGAACTGACACCGCTCAGAGATTCCTGTGTACATAGAGATTTTCGTGTATATATGGATCAATGTATATATAGATCAGTGTATATAGAGATCGGTGTATGCTATACTTCTGACTGTGTATATAGAGATCAGTGTGTGTATGTAGAGATCACTGTGTGCTATACGCCCCACTGTGTATGTAGAGATCAGTGTGTATGTAGAGATCACTGTGTGCTATACTCCCCACCGTGTATATAGAGATCAGTATGTATATAAAGATCATTGTGTACTATACTCCCCACTATGTAAATAGACATCAGCGTTTGCTATACTCCCCACTGGGTATGAAGAGATCAGTGTGTATATAGAGATTACTGTGTGCTATACTCCCCACTATCACTATGTATATAGAGATCCAGGTGTGGACCTACTGCCAGTGCAGCAGGTGCAATGGGCTTCTGAGCGGGGGCGGTGGTGGTGGTTTGGGGCACTTTGTTCCTTAGGTCCGCCACTGCACCTAACATTATAGAATATTAAACTGACACACTATATTTATGTCTTGCTGATATTGTTGCATTTGTTTATTATCTTCAGTGGTGCTTTAAAGGACATTGCATTTGGAAGACACCAGAACAGTCATATAGTCAAGATGGCGGGTGGGGTTCATGGTCACGGTTTGGTTCCTGTTCCCGCACCTGTGGAGGAGGAGTGCGCTCCCGTAGCAGACAATGTAATAATCCACCGTAAGTATAATATAGCTAAACAATACAGTGGTCACAAATGGGGATGAGGCTCAGAGTTTAGTAGCTGAAACAATAGACTAGTTTGTAATTTTAAACAGGCTGGGTTCCAGACACAAATAGCATAAGCAATATGGGAGTATAGTCAGAAATCAAGCTTAAGTTGGTAGCCAAAGGTATCAGGTTTGATATGGAAATAATGTGTGGTCGATGAACAGGCAGCCAAGGGTCGGTACACCAGTAAGAGTAAAGAAGGATGTAGTGAAGTAGTAGTAACAAAGAACAAAATTATGGCATAAACACAATAATCTTGCAAACAGGAAATGCAGTGGCATGGCTTAAATAAAATAGTCTAGGGGAGTTCAACGTTCAAGAAACTGGGTATCTATGAGGATTGATCAAGAGATCCAGCAGGGTGCTATCCAGGACTTCAGGTGGCTCAGTAGTTAGTGACACAACCAGGCACAGAACAATCTGTGTTTGGATCCTGACAACAGTGATATCTTATTGCTGTGGCAATGTAAGCCAGATTAGTTCAATATTGCAGCAAGCAAAGTGCAGTCACATTTGACAACCAATCAACAATAATTTCTCACTGAACCAGATATAGCAAACTACAACCTGATTGTTTCCAACGCATTAGTGTGCTTTGTGGACATCTCTGCTCTTTTGATTGCCTACTCAACAAACATGGCAGATGACGCACATTTATGGGTTGCAATGTTGATAACAGGTGAATACATAGATTACATATGTCTATCTTGTATTTAGGTCTATAATTTCTACCACTTGCTACGTAAAGCTCCTGTTTTTTATTATTTTGGTTTCCAGTAAACACATGGAACTGTTTTCCTGTATAGTCTCAGCCAGATAAAACCAGCGATGATGTACAGAGATGCAGAGATGTTCTGCGAACATATTGGGGTCTATTCACAAAGCTGCCGAAGGATCTGGCCGTAGCTTCGGCCGATCCTTCAGCTAGCTTCGGCACAATTCCAGTACATGACAGTATGTGTAGGTGTGAACTTAAAGAAATAGTGTATCTCGCACATCATCATGTACAGCTGGAGTTTACCAAAGTGACCCATGTGCAGTACCATTTTAGCATCAGACGTATTTACACTGTTCTACCTTAATTATAATTGACTTGATTTATGGTCAAACACCCCAACAATGGATAATGTATAAGGCTATCATGGTAACTTAAAAAATTACTGTAGCTCTACAATGAAATTCCAAGCAAACATCATCATTAACCATGGCAATTTGTAAATAACCAAATAACTATCAGGCACCATGGTAATCTAGTCATTTATCACAAAGGCCTTTTGTAAGGGCGGTCACATTATCTTCTACTTTGGATTCTAATTTGGAAAATGAAATGCCGAGCATATAATTTAAGTACTGCTAGGTAACTAACACGAAGGATGCATTGCTTAGATGTTATTTTCTCAGTTATGTATGTGAAACATACTTCATTTTACAATGTTTGATAGCAGCTAACAGTCATTTTAGTGTAATGCTGTACATAGCTGTTCTATAAGGACTGATAAATCTTACATTATCAGGGCACAACAGCTTGCAATTTTATTTCATTTTATCTATCATAGTATTATATCTTAGTATCATGGTGCTGAGTTGCCATATTGAATTTTAAACTTCATACTGTGGTCTTAGTAAGCAGGCTTGTGATATTTAGAAGTTCAGTAGCAAATATGTGGCTTTTAGACTGTATGTCTAGGTGGTTAACTTTTTTTGTTGAGTCAGTGGGGTTGATTTACTAAAGCTAAACAGATTGTTCACTTTGCAAGGGAAGTTTTCCCTTAGTTTAGCAAATGAGGTGAAGCTCTGCTGACTTCTATCACCCAATTATGTTCAAGCAAAAATACTATTTTCCTAGATTGGGTACATAACTGGGTATTCTTTGCTAAGTGAAATGTCACCATATTCACTAACCTAGGGGAGACTTCCCCTGCAAAGTGCTAATTTGCCTTCCGTAAATTAACCCCCATGTGTGTGATATTTTGTAGTGTTAATGAAAAGCACACTTTTCATTATCAGTCTCCACGTTTGCTTGCTGGAAATATTACAATAAAACATAAACATGCAATAAAAATGCAGCTCAGTGTTACCCTTTAAAAATAGTACAGGTTTGTGAGTAAAATATAAAAATACTTACAGAAGATAAAAAGTTGATGTTCCAGACAGAGTTTAGTGTTTGAAGGAATAGAGCTGTTTTATCACGATTAACACAGATGTCTACATCTGTTGTTCCCTTGCTCCATATTTAGCCAGTTTTACATCCAACAATGATAACATGGTATACTGTCATAGTGAGAGGAGGGGGAGGATACAGAAAATGACTGCATTTTCTGAGAGAAGTAAGTCACACAGAGGTCAGCCAATAGTGTGTGAGTTAAAGTGATGACCGGATATTTTGCACCCTGTTCATTCTCAGTTTGTCTTTCTTTTAGTGCATGTCAACAGACTGTTACATAATGCTGCATAGAAAAGCAAGTCAAAAATGATTTCTATATAGCCAAGGCTCTTATATAATCCATAATGACTCTTGGAGTTTTGAAAGCTCTCATTGTCAAATAAAATCACAGTTCAAAATGTTTAAGCCATTCTGTCACCCCCCTCTATTTATTTTCACAGCGTTACATCACACCAGAGCTATAGCAGTAACAGACCACAAAATTATGCATTGCTTGAAAAAATGTAGTATTTGCCATTGGCGTGTTTATATGTTCATCAGGCAGTATGATGCTGTGTATTTCTTTTACACATACCATTTGTCTTGAGTCATACCGTGGGCAATTTCTGCAGGTATAGTCAAACAGGTTACTGTAGCAATTTTAAGACATGTTCTTTAGCTGCCAAGGAGGAAAAACAATTAAGACGTGAGACAGTATTTGGTGACTATTGGAGATGCCATAATTATTAGTTACTATGGTACTATGCAATGTTTAATAAGTTTAAATGTAGACGACCGTAAAGATCAGAATGCTAACTCGTGCCCTGTATTCCTTCAAATTCCAGTTCCCCAAAATGTAAACATATGTTATGCTTCTGGTGGTTCTTGCTTCTCCATATAGTCACATCTGTATGCTCTTTTTGTTCTTTCCCCACCGTTTTTTCAGATTACATAAACACAGACTTGGCACAAGAAATATAGCAAAACAATAAATTTTCAGAAGTTTGGATTTATTGAAGGCAAATGTTAATATAGCTCAAAGCCATCATTTGCTGTTTCAACTGCTTCTACTTTCTCAGATGTTTTTTCTTCTTTTTCTCGATACCCCTCTCATTTATTTCTGCTGTACATCATCATAAGATTTAGCGGTTTATACTTTAAGACAATTGAGCATTGGCAAGACATGTTTGTAGATGTGCCTAAAACATAAGAGACCTTTAAATAAAATACTTTATGTGAATGTAGAATGTGATGATGGGCAAAATATTATTAACAAAGATCTGCAGTTAGTACTCCAGTATTTTATTGCTGTCACTATTTAGCTGCTATTGTAAAACACTACAGTAGAGACATCAACTAGAAAATTGTCATGCCATTTTATAGAAGAGGATGTGATAAAGATTTATGTGGTCGTTTACAGTAGGGAACCATGTCACATTTTTTATTTTATTTTAATGTAATCATTTAGAAATACACAGAACCTTGGCTGGATCTTCATTTAGTTTTGTAATGGCAAATAAATCTTGTAACGCATATCTTAAAGTTTTTGTCCAGGCAAAAATAAAAACGTCTGTGTCACAAGGTTATCATAATCATTGCCCAACTAAACTATGATCTTTTTATTATCCTTCTTTAGAAGTATTGAATTACCTAGTGATCTTGCCTTATAGTTGCTAGTGGCCCCAGTCCCAGCAATGGTATATCAATGCTGCAGAACCGTAAACCAGCTGGCTTCTCCCCCCCCCCAGCGTTGTCAGGTTCCTGGAGGAGCACTGCATCATTGTCTCAGCTTGAGCGATGTTTAAGTCACTGCATTCCTTCATTGTGCTTGCGCAGTAATAGTCAGATTCAGCTTAGGCACTACTCAGGCTGGAAGGCACCATTCAGTTTGGATAGCACACTTCTAGTTTCAACATCACTGCTTGAGCAAGTCTCGTAGTGTTGAGGAATATGCTCTATGCTCTATTTTGTATTCATTATAAAAATAGAGAAATGTATGGCCAGCCTTACCCTCTATTCCTGTTTTGTGATAACTAAAATTTTTGGTGGTCATCAAGAGAAAAAGAAAGAAAGTTAAACATCAGGAAAAGTAGTAAAAACCTGACAGATTTTCTAATCCCTCATCACTCTATAAAAAAAATAAACAAACATTTTTAGCTTTAAAAAAAACATTAAGACCAGCCAGAAAAGATTTGTAAACAGGAAGTATATATACAGTATGTGCTGCTCTTACAGCAGGGCCCTCCTACCCATCTTGTTTTGTATTCTATTGTAACTGTAATGTCTTCCTTCTATAGTAAAGCGTTGCACAAACTGTAGGCGTAATATAATTCCTTTATAATAATATAATCTTATGTATATTTAGAAAAAAAAAACAGGAAATGTATATACAGTATCTGCATATATGCATATTTAGAAAAAAAGATTAGAAACACATTTTATTGAACATTGTGAAGTAGTGCTGCTAACAACTTGTAAAGATAGAATATTCGGCTTCAATATTCAAATTTTTCTTCATGTATAGTGAAAGTATGAAAGTATTGCTGATGCTTTAATTTTAAGTTGTGGTCTTTGTGTTTGGGATGGTAAAAATGTGAACACATTGTTGCCTTTATGTTATATTCTGCAGTCCTGCATATGGTGGTCGAGATTGTCCTGGTCCCACCTATGAATATCAGATGTGTAACAATGAAGAATGCAGAGGACCGTTTGAAGATTTCCGTGCTCAGCAATGTTCACAGCGTAACTCATACTATACTTACCAGAACACCAAGCACACTTGGCTTCCTTATGAGCATCATGATGGTGAGATCACTTCGAAGTTCTGTTTGAACAGACATATCTATTCAGAGAAACCCTGATTATTGTGTAATGCTCACATGTACCAGTGTCTCTTAGTAAACATCAGTTCAGACTCAAATCAAGTGTGAGTTTCACCATAACAATCCATGGTCCCCTAACTATCACATATTGCTAAAACGTATCCTTACACTTAATACTATCCTTCCTAATTAACCCATACCCTTAAACTTCCCCTTTACGCTTAAACTGTTCCCTAAAAATGAATCCTAACCTGTAACCTATCGCAAAAATATACTTGGACTGTTGTCCCAAGGACAAAAGTCCCAGAGGGCATATTTCCTTACTTTGGATATATTTTTGAGATTTCTTTTCACTTTCTCTTGTGCCTATAGGACAGGAAGTCCAGGGAAATCTCTACAGTAGGGCACAAATGGCAGGAAAACTGACAGGGGTTTAACCTTTCCCTACTAAAATGAAAAAACACTTTGGTTTCAGCTACATTCTAAGCCCAACTGTACTTCAATCTTAATATCAAAAATGTTAAATATCACATTATTATGATAATTTACTAACACCTGTGTACTCATTTTCCTCTGTGCCAATTCATACCATGAAATTGTGGTGCTAAAAACGTATGGGTCACTTTTAAAATGCTTTAGTATCTCCTGCATTGAGTACCACTAGGGTAATCATAAATGTTATTATACATACTAAATAAGTCTCTTCTCAAACATATTAGTGTTAAGGAATTAATTTGTAATCATAGGATATAGCGCAACATGTGATTATTTCAGGCAGGATTTGGAGACAGCAATGATAGTTTGCATAACTTCTCTGGATATAAGACCAGTGAACAGATGTAGGCAGTTTATTGTCAGATCACTCAATCTTAAATTAGGTAGTATTTCCACTTTTAGCTGATCAATAAAGCTTTAACACGGTCTTGTTTTAATTGCAGATGCTCAGAAGTGTGAACTCATATGCCAGTCAAAGGAAACAGGAGATGTTGTATTCATGAATCAGGTGGTTCACGATGGCACTCGATGTAGCTATAAAGATCCATACAGTGTCTGTGCCAGAGGAGAATGCCTGGTAAGTGCTTAGATCTAGAACACATAATAATTAATTTGGTAATGTCATACTACTGCTCACACAGAATGCTTTTTCAACCATTCATATAGTCTTTCACAAATTTGGGATTGTCCTAGGTCAAGATAATATTGTCTCTTTTAACTGCACAGAAACATTGTTATAGGCACGTTAATGAATGCTACCTTCTGACGTGAAATATTATTATATACATTTAAGCTTCATTAACATTGGGCTCACCCAACACTTCTTCTTTGTCTGAAGTCTATTTCCTTCAACACAAAGGCTATCTTAGACAGTTCATAATATTCACCACACTGTCATCTTTCTTTATAATCATAAAGTAAATTGTAAACCTTTGAATAAGCTTCAAGTACCATCTTTTTAATTTTAATAAACCACTTCATTTAAAAAATAATATTACGCATAACAGCTTCCCATAAAATGTTTTTCTTGCCATAATAAGAAACCCATACCTGTAGCTGGTATGTAATCCAGTAATCTAAACCTTATGACATCACCACTTCTGGCTGCTGGTTACTGGCAGCTGCTTTGCCCAGTTACAAAACAAATCACAGTGTAGCCAGCTTGACCAGAACTGGCTATTTGGTCAGGCACATTGGGGTTGATTTACTAAGGAAGGAGCCAATGCCTTTTTTGCAAAGTGCATGTTAACTGAGCTTAGTCAATAAAGCAAAGCTGTGTGCAATTTGTTTACCCAGTCATGAGTAAGTAAATTACATTTGGATGATGGATGACTGAAGCGAACTCAGCTTCATCTTATTTACTAAGATCAGTAAACATTCATTTTACAAAGTTTAGTTAATCAACCTAACTGCCTTTCTAGTTTAAACCTGAATTTCAAACAACTAAATATACAGATACAATACTGTACATATAAAAGAGCTGTTCTATCTGACAAAGGATTTGTATTACTATTCATCTAATTTAGACAGCACAGCCAGTTGGATGACACCATTTTCTCTGTTACAATTATACACTGTAGTAGGGATAGAGTAGTGTCTTCTCTCAAACCCAGCCTGCTGATTGGACAGAAAAGGAGCATAAGGAGAGTGCCATCTGTCTGCTCACTCTCCTTTCTTCTCCTATCAACATGTTATTTGTCAGCAGATTTTCAGGGAGTACACCTAATTGGCTCCCAGTACTGCTCTTACCTCTTCCAGTCTAAGTGCTGCTCTGCAAGAAGCTGATACTTAGTCAAATTCAGGTACCTATACCTGAATAATCTATTTCCAGTGACATCAAATTCAGCCCAGAGTTAAAAGTTTACAGTTTGACACAGTTTTACATCTTATTGATCTTACAATTCTCATGTATTTAGAATCAAAAACAAAGGAGAACAACACGGATCCTTATCAGATGCCTTTATTCTGGCAACAAATTTAGCAAATAGCTTTTTATTTCCTGTTCCAAATTTGTTAAGAGTAACATAATATTTTGATTTTATTTCTTATGTCTTGCTAAGAGTGCAAGAACAGTACAATTTACCAACACTAAGGAATTTTATAAAATAGTATCTGCTGTATCTCAACCACTTACACAGTTTAAGCTGCAAGATGCAGCAGGAATCCATCAGTTGTACACTGTGATGTTTTTAACTAGGCCTCTTATGAGAACCATGGTATCTGCCGCTGTATATGTTAATAGGTACTAAAACTAAATCTGTATTTTTATATTGAATTTCCATAAGTTCTATCCCACACCTAATAACCATATTGATCTAGAAGTTTGTAAATTTACTTCCCAGTGGAAGGGACTGGCATGGGTGACTTCCAATGCTTGGCTGCCAAGCATCCAATATGGCCGATCTCCCCTGCCATACTGTAGTAAAGGGAAAATAAAAGCGCATATCAGAGCCCACTAAGCAAAGTATGTACACATTCACAGAACAACCAGTAATCTTAGCAAAAGGCTAATGAAAAAAGGAAAGACACACATGCCAGCTTTGTGATATACCATCTTTTACATTCAGATACATACAGAGTGCACTGATTAAGCTGTACAATGGTTTACCCTCTTGTAAAGTAATTATGGTGGTATGGAATCAGTTGTTGGTCATTTTCTGGTTATACATCATAGATAAGTCAAAGTAAATGTTCACACCTTACAAAATGTCTAATACCTTTTGCACCAAACAATAATAAGTAGTTGTATACGGATGCAGTTATACACTTACACTGATTCAGTACGGAAGAACATGAGTAAGATCACCTAATAAAACTAGATACAGTACATTGTTTAATACAGTTTTCTCAAACTTTTTTCAGTCATGGCACCCTTTAAAGTTAAACAAAATCTCGAGGCACCCCAATCTAAAATGTAAAAACGTAAATGTAAACACCAATGTGTGGCCCCCTTTAAATCCATACCAGACCCTTATCCTAAATCCATACCAGAGCCTTTCACATGAAAATCCCCTATTCACATCAGAAGCCCCCTTCACATCAAAGGCCTCAGTCCCCCTATATAACATGTCCCCCACAGCACCATGGCAGAGATTGGGATGACTTCCAGGATGATGTTGCGCCTTGGTTGAGAAAGGCTGGTTAAATATTTATCTACTTTAAAAAGAAAATTGACAATTTGCAGGAAATATCTGCTTGGATAACCTTGTCCTGCTTACAGACATTTGAAAGTGGTCATCTACTTCTTCTCTGGATGTTAATAATTGTTTTTAATAAATAAAGATCTTTACTGTGAAAGAAAAAATACTAAGAAGATTCCTATTTCCTGACAGTCCATTACATGGCTGAGTGTATTTATCTAAAGTGTTCATGATCATCTTGGTTTATCATGCAGAACTCATATATACAAACCAACCTCACCACACAGGTGTGAAATGAATTGCCTTGCATCACATTTGAGCTACTACATTGCTTTACAGTGATCATCTGGGTGCTGGTACTGCGCTGTACTGAGCGAGGAGTAGTGACATCACAATCTGCGAAACTCCAGCCAAACCTTTTTGTCAGAACCCCTGGCAGGTTTTTAACTGCTGCCTGTGTCCCTGTTGGAAGATTTCCCTTTATGCACTTTGTTAGGACCACATGGGAGATGAGAGACATTGCTAACAATGTTGGAGAGATACCACCTTATTTACCGTCTCTCTGAACTCACATAAAGTAAGGGAGAATGTCCCCTCCGGGGCCACAAACAGAACTAAAATCCTCACCGAGGTTCTAAGCCTTCCCCACTATATCCAAAGCTAAAATAAGTGTTTAGATGGCATTCAGTTTTGCTAACAAATATTCTTACATTTTAGCCATTAGCTGTATTTTCATTTTATGGAAATATTGATCCCTATAGAGCAGTAAGTTTGTGTATCTGCAGATACAGTTTGTGTAAGTTTGTGTATCTGCAGATGTATCTGCAGGTGCAGAACAGTTTTGTACCTCCCCAGAAACAGAGTGGTCTTCTTAGTCAAAGGAGGGCAATGTATGTTTGAACTATACATGTAAACTTGGACAGTGATTTGGACAGTCACCTATGTGCCAACAGCACAGGTAAATGGGCTGCATATGTATGTGATTAAATTAGTCAGATGTTGATTGTTCACCACTGTACATGAATATGTACAGGCCACATTTTTAGCATGTCAAACAATTGCGTTAATGAGAACTAGCTTTACTGGACAGGGAATCTTTCCATTTACATTCCTATACTCAGTCCAGTATCCTGATATTAATATAAGTATTGCTTAATTATGGGCAGTAACCTATACAAAAAAATTATTCTGACAGGATTGCAATAAAGGAGCTATCTCTGTGACCCACTTTTTTATGTGTTAAAACAGAATGTTGGGGAATTATCTAAATATTTTCAGTAAAGCTTTGTTTGCCCAACTTTGTTGCCCATGCACCAGTCAGCTGCTTATCATTTATGTTTTTTTGGTAACATACTGTCATCATTATGATCATTTCAATCCAATCAGGACCGGATTTACTCTCCCTGCTGCCCCAAGGCCAGGTTCCGCAATGCTAAATGTAGAAAACAAATTACCGCCCAACGCCCGGAACTCCACGTTCCGGGCGTTGGGAGACTTCAAACCTATGCCGCCCCTCTGCTCCCTGCCGCTCTGAGGCCGGGCCTCTCGGTGGCCTTGTCGGTAAGTCCGGCCCTGAATCCAATGTATGTCTTTCTTTGAATGCAGTTAGGAAAGTTAGTATGAACTGGAAATTAATATTGACTTTACTAATAAAAGATAGCTTTACACTGACTGTCTGTTCAGTTCTCTGAATTCAAAAGAGTTTCTAAAAGTTTAATGTGCCTGTGTTGTTTCTTTCTATTATAGCATATCGGATGTGACAAGGAAATTGGCTCCCTGAAAGAAGATGATAAGTGTGGGGTTTGCGGAGGAGATAACTCACATTGTCGAACTGTGAAAGGAACATTAGCTAAATCGGCAAAGCAGTCCCGTAAGTAAATCTACATGGTGCTTATCATCCAGTTCCTGTGTATCACTATCCCCATTTCCAAAAATGAATCCTTGTTCCACCTGAATAGGTTTGCCAAAGACATTTTTTATCTAGTTTCACACTTTGCACATTGTCAATGAGCCAATTAAGACAAGTTAATTCACTTAGTGGCATGCTAAGGTGCATCATCTACTCTATATTTAAGGCTATTCATTCTTAATTCCACTGTGTAGTCTTTATTGCTCCAATATGTCTCTGTAGAGCATACAGCAGGCAATGTTTGAAACATAACTATTTGTATCTACTTGGTGTACAATAGTGTACATGCAAAGTCAGGGCCGGGATTATTGTTCACACCATGTCCAGATCATGTCCAGGCCAGAACAGTTTTTGTCCGCACCTGAAATGCATCCCAATGTATTCCTATACTATTTCTGGGCTCTGTTCACACCAGTGTAGTTCATTCCGGTGCGGGCAAAAAAAATGCTGCATCAGGTCTTGAATGCATGTAAACGCATCAAAAATGCATGGAAATGTACTGAAACACACTGGAATGCACAGGACTGCACTTGAAAGTCCATTTTAAGCTAGAAAAAAAAACATATCCGGAACGCACTGGAACGCATCACAAACGCGTCAAAAACACGTCTAAACGCAATGCACCACGTTACAAATCTGGTCCAGATCTGCTCAGGAAAATGGTGTAAACATGGCCTATGCAAGAAAGCTTTCCAGTGCCCTTCAGTGACCACACCACTCAGTAACCACACACCCTCAGTGGCCACACCCATTTCTCCAATTCTCACACCATTTAAAGCATCCCATTTTGTTAAGCCCCAAAGAAACAGATGAAAAAGTATGATAAAAAAGTAAACTTTTATTCAAAGGTATTTCACTTCTAAGCACAATATAAGTATTCTTAATAAATAAAACAACAGAAGGCAAACCAGTGGTAAACAATTAACGTCAAACTACAATAGAGCCTATAAAAATAAAATGTCAGGATGTCATGCAGACCCTTTTTTCAAGTAAGTGCATCTAGAAAAGTAAAAACAAAACACAAAACCTAGACTACATGTTAAATAGTGCATACTGTTTACTAGTACAAAGTGCATGGTGGACTATTGAAAATGAGGACATAGAGGGGTCTATTCACTAAGCTGCCGAGGGCAGCCAAGTGAATGACCGATCTGAAGTGAAGTGAGCCGAACACTGTTCGGCTATTCACTTCAGGCTGGTACGGCTGATTTCAGCCGTACATCGGCTGAAATCAGCCGTACATCGGCTTGCTTCGTGTGGCTTCGGGTCGGAAGATGCCGAACAGCAGTGAGTGAGTAGCCGAATACCGCTGAGCGGCATTCGGCCTGGCTGTTCTGCTCGATCCCTCAGAGGGACCGAGCAGAACAGAAAAAGAGTGAAAAAAGTAAAAAAAAGTAAATAGAAAACGATTGTGCGGAGCTAGCAGTGACAGCTAGCTCCGCCCAATAGTTTCCTATTGTCCGGCGGCTCTGCTGCTGTAAAAAGGCAGCTTGGTGAATAGACCCCAGAGTCCTCAATCTCCTTTTCTGCAGCTTCAGCACTGAATGAATGGAAAGCACTCAGTACAGAGGCTTCCCATTCATTCACAAGCTGGAGGTAGTAAATATTTCCTGTTATGAATGCATAGAAGCCTCTGTACTGAGCTGCTTCTACCCATTCAAAAACTCATGAATGAACAGGAAGTGATGTAAAGCATGTGTCTACAGTTATTTACAAACATTGGAGTGATCAGCGCCGGCTTCAGCACTCCATTTCTCCCCAGATCCCCGCTGCCTCTGCCCATACAGGTGGGGGAGAGCAGTGGGGGATCCATGGAGAAGCTGCAGGCTGTGCCGCCCCTCTACTCCCTGCCACCCAGAGGCCATGGCCTCGTGGGGAATCTGTCCCTGCCTGCAGCTTATGTCATAGCGATCTGTGTTGCACGTCTGTTGTCATGGCACCCTGTGCGGCCCCACAGCTTGCACACCCCAAATGCGGGCCCTGTGTATAGTGTGCTTTGATTCAGAAGAGCTTAAGAAACAATGGTTGAACGCCCAACATGAGCACTTCATGGATTTAACACACCCTACTCCTTTGCCATCTTTCTGATCCTGTGATATGCCTTTACTAAAGGACATCCCTTACCTAAGCTTACCTAACTCAGTAACTCTTTTAAAGAGTTTGCTTATAATAACCTGTTAGGACAGAAGTGTCAGAACAGCACTGACTTGCTGCATACCGCAGGGCTCTTGAGCTCATAATTTCTTCACTAGTTGGTGAAATGCTGACCTGGATCAAGCATGTAAAGTGTTGGGACATCTATTAGGCTTACTCTAGTTCCAGGATATTGATCAATAAGTATTTAAGTAGGGTTTAAGAAGATATCCTCAGGCCATGTTTGTTCAATGCTCTACAGTGGCATGTTCATACTTCTATCCTGGCAGGTTTCTTTGTGTCAGATAAGTGTAATCACAATGACAGGGAGGTGATCCAGAGCAGAGTGCTTTGTACTTTCTGGAGTGGGTCATATTAAGGGGTTGCAGTAATCGTTGTCTGTTCACACCTCTGAAAAAGCAGAAAGAGGCATACATATGAACATGTTCCTGTATAGAAATCTGCTTTTTTAAGGGGGGAAAGAATAAGTGTGGATATTGTTTGGGTATACTCCAGCTGTAGCTAGCCCTAAATTCTTTCACGGCCTCACCCCTGGAACTGCAAATTTGACGGAGTGTAACTCAAATGCTGCCAAGTCATGGTAAGCATGGAGTTGTATGGTTCATGTGAAGAAATGCATTCTGCTCTTAAGATTTTAATTTACGTTTAGCAGAAATAAATCTAATCAGTTACACAAAGATCGAGTTTTCTTTAAAAGCACAGAAGTTACAGACTACAAATGATGCTTCCAGATGCCACATGCAGCTGATGAACTCCAGTAAAGTCCAGATGTTCAGCATGTGTGATTTATACTGGATGATAGTAAATACAAGATGTATGGATGCTTACAGGATCTGTTTTCGAGTTGGAGTGCAGCAAAGCATAGCAAACACCAGTAAAAACGGTATGCACATATATACCTAAAGTTTAAATATCTGTATCATTATATTCATTGAATACTGTGCAGTGTAAGCCATCCAGGTCTGATCAGAATGCAATTGAGTTACCCATCAAGAAATCACATTTTGTGAGAAGGGAGATTAGGACATTTACATGATTATATGGCGTGGTCTTAAGCTGGCCTTACACTGCTCTATTTTTGTTTATCAACCGACAGGCTGAATGAGCGCTATGAGCATGTTGATCAAGGAATCCCCAATGTTTCTTTTGAATTCTGACAGGAAAACATTGGTATAGCATCTCAATGCATGTTCACCACAGTTACTTAAAGTTAGATAAAGTCAGCTGCCCAGGCTTTTACTATTTGTAGGGATCCAGGAGATTATGTAGATGACCTGCATTTGACTTCCATTTGAAGCATGCTTTATCTCAAGTCTGCATATTTCTGTAATAAGACTGAATTGATCCTGCTTTACTTTTCTTTTGACATGGTAGGTCCTATTGAGAGTCATTCATATTGCTTCAAAATGTCCCCATTTGCAGACAAAAGCATATAATGCAGCCCTGCGGGAGCCCTGATTATGCCCTATATCCTAAAGCAACTAATCAGTTTACCATTGCCTTTATCAGACATGATCATGACCTTTACCAGTAACTAAATGCATCCGCTAATCAAGGCTTGCATACTCTGGAGTAGAATCTTTGAGGACCACTTAACTGTAATATGATATGGCCACAAACTGAAGGAGTTGACAATCTTCACTCAAATTATACCTGTGTTGACATTGAATAACCATGTTCAGATGAAATTAACAGGAATTTTCTTTTCACATGATTGTATAATTGTATTGATTCTTCACTCAATAACTAGATTGAAGATTTCTAATTTCTAATTTTGTTAGTAAATCAGCCTCTCTGAGTAGCACACCTAGTAGTACCCTCTACCCAATGGTAGTAAGCATTCTAAGAATTTGTATTTATCCATTCTACAGATCAGACAGGAATGCTTTACTTACCAGATTTTATTTTATTGTAGAATAACAAAAATATTCCAAGTTTTCCTTTATTTTTTTAGCACATACTACAAAAACAGAGCATCTTGCAGAACAGGCCAAGTGCTAAAGAACAGACCAATGCTAAAGAACTCTCTTAGCGAGCAGTATGTGCAGGAGAGGAGTCTGAAGGGTATGGTAGTGGGCAATGTGTGTAGGAGAGGAGTCTGGAAGGCAAAACAGGAGGCAGTAAGTGCAGAAGAGAACGGCAGAAGGTATTACAGTGGGCAGTATATGCAGGAGAAGAGACTAAAGGGTAGGGCAGCGGGTAGTATGTGCAGAAGAGGAGACTGCAGGGTATGATACGAGCTTCTTAATAATCATGTGCAGTTGCCTGAAGTAGGAATATAGGATGCTTGCAATCCTGGTTAATTGTATACTCTCAGTCTAGTAGCACCTCTATGTACATGTTCATGATGAGCCGGCTTCAGACCATAGTGAGTTTGTGGTTATTACAGTATATTTTTCCAGACTTGGCAGACAATAGGATAGTTCGGGAAGGCTAAAAGGTGATGACATGGAATCTGAGCTTGGTTTAGTAACTATGGTTTCAAAGATGTTTGCTCAGTGAGTGCATTGGGATCCCCAACCCCGTTTATGTTCCTTAGTCCCAATTGAGATCCCCAACCCGTTTATGTTCCTTAGTCCCAAAAGTAATGAATAGCACATCTTAGACCAGTGCCTACACAACACTTCCCACAGTGGTAGAAACCACTGCATTAGTGTACACTGTATGTCAGGGTTCACTGTCTGCTTCAAAGTTATTTCCTGGAACATGACTCAGCAAGATATATTGACCACCACATTTTTACATTACAATGTGGTTTACCGAGCCATGTGAAATAAAACTTGTATGGTTTAAAATACTTCATAAAGTATTTAACAGCAAATTGTATCCAGTACTGCTAACACAACAGTAGTTAGATTCTTCCATGCAAACCAACAGGACAGGGTTAAGTTATCTTAAAGAGCCTTTACAAGTGTCTGCATCCAAAAAAGTAATTCGTTTATTGGAGTCTAAGGATGATTAAATAACAGGAGATCATCATCTTTCAATCCTAAAGTTTCATTCTTCCCATAATGCTACTGATCTTGCCTTGTTTCTGTTCTCAAGAGATACAGTAATCTGTTTCCCATTGAGATTTAATCAAACAATCCTGCTTTGAAATGTATTCTGAGTAGAGCACATTATCTGTACAATGGAACAAAGGCACAGCTAGCTGTTATAAAATAAGATTACACAAAAGTACCAGATTTGAGGAAATCACTGGTCAATTTAAAGTGTATGTAAAATGGGCTACAACCAGGCGTACCTGCACCCAATTGTCCTTTGCTATATATGCTTAAAGATGGAGGCTCTCATAGATTAGAGTTAGAGCCACACTACACACCACGCTACTACCTTCAGGAGGCAGTGTGGCTTCCACATATTTTGCAAAAGTTGTGCAACTAAAACCTCGGTTGTTATTGCAAGTTGTGAGAGTGTATTTTTTTTCATTTTTTTTCAGGCTAGCTGGTAAGTGTGCTGAGAAATGTTTGTGTTTTGCATGGTGTAAAGCTTTTCCATGTTTTTTTCCATCCACCTTACTTTAAAGCTTGTTATGTATTGATTTGTGCAGTTGCCATTTACTTCACTCATTGATCCTGCCAAACATCCAGTGCTGTCCTGAGTACTCTGCCGGGATATCACTAGCAGTATTATCAGCATTGTGAACTACAGAACACCGCCCTATGTTAGGGAGGTGAGACATTGCTGATCCTCCATATGTCTGTGAATGTTCTCATTCATCCAGGTCATGGTATATCTGTAAAAAATATGTCAAGGCAACTGGAGAAAAATACAGCAAGTCCAGTTGCCTTGATTTATTTTTTGCAGATCCTCCATAGACACAAGAAAGAAAATGAACATTACCACTTTAGGACAGGAATTATGTTAATGGCGGGATCACCAGGTGAAAATTAAGAAAACAAAAACCTGAAAAATAAAATACGGCCGCCACATTTAAAGAGTGGTAGGCTGCCAATATATTGCATTTTTATTCTTAAGTGTAAATGCATTTTAAGGAACAAATAGCCTTTTATCAATAAAGATGATGACTATATTGATATACAGTATGTGTGATTCCCATTGTACATATTATGTGTATCTCGGTAAATTTAATACAAATAACATTTTTGATGGAGAAGAGTTGATAAATGTTTTCCTTCCCTTCTGTGAACCAAAGCAGATACAGTTTAATATGTCTTAAAATAACCTTTTTTTGTGCGTGGTTCTCTTTAGGGTCACAGGAGGACATTTACTAATGTCCTCCTGTGACCCAAAACTCGGGATATAGCGGGCTATTGCCCACTATATGCTGACAGTGCAGGACCGCGCCGCAGCCGGGAAAGATCAAGACAATATTGTCGGGATCCACCCCGCTATCTGTTTAACAGCTGGCTCTGCCTCTCTAGAGGGGGGATCCATGCGGAAAGCAGTGACTGACACTCATCGCTCTCTGCAGGGAGATCATGAACTGAGCGATCAGCGGTATGTGATCAGTCAGTTCACGATTAATTAAGCTGACGTGTGACAGCAGCAATGTCACATGTCAGCTCTAACTATGTTGATGAGTTTATTTCACTCTCCCCATAATTCTCTTTTGGTTAAATATGGTTAAATATTAAATAAGTGGTTAAATATTACTGAACAATTCTGTTGTCGTTATGTTATTAATAATTATTTTGCCTTACTGAACTGTAACACTAGACGAGGGAGCAAGTCAAAATTGAAGGGAATGACTACATTGTGATTGTATGCATTCCCTTATTTAGCCAATTAAAAATCACAGATGATTTTATTTGTCATTACAGCTGGTGTTTTAAAGATGTTTGAGATCCAAGCAGGAGCCAGGCACATCCAAATAGAAGAAACAGAAGGATCATCTAGCAGTTTTGGTAAGAGCATTCTAAAAAGCAAAACTTTCAGAGAATATCAAAAAATTATCTTTTTAAGTAACGTTTTTAGCTAAAGAAATGCATAGGAACATGTATAACTGAAGTAGTTTAAACATGTGGAACATTTAATGCTTGAGAAAATGGTACTTCACAAAATGATTGGTTGAACATCATGCTTCTCCCACCAAGCGTGTGTTTTCTAAAGTGCTGTGGGTTGGATGAGTTGAAAGGAAGTGGGGATGGTTAAAGTTGCAATTGGAATGGTAAATGATCATGGCTACAAAGCACTGGATTTGTTCATTGGGACCTTGGGCACATTAAAATGTGATCACTGTAAGGATTTAGTGTCTAGTCACAAGGGTAAAATGGAAGGGTTATCAATCTATGCACACCTTTTCACCAGACGTCGGGAAAACAAAGGTGAATGCACAGGCAAGTGTCAGTTTCTTATCCACGGTCATTATTTACAATCTTCTCTTGCAGCGGTACATTAAACAAAAAACACAATTCCATTCCATCAGTGACACTCCCCCAAAACACTGAGAGCCCCACCTATATTCAGACACCTGGGTCTCTTAGCCAGGCTCAAAACATGGAATGGAATAATGATGGCCACCCACTCTTTCCTGATGTAGCAAGATTTCACATTCCTGCCTGCCTATACCCCTGTTTTCCTCTAGAGCCTTTTATATGCACCAATGCCACAGTGAGAATGCAAGCTATACCCTGCCAATGACTACACCCTTGGTTCTCTATGGATGTTTGTTTTATCACTCATGAACAACATAACAGATGCAGCATTAGGATACAGTTTAATCTGAAACCATGCAGATTTATAGATAAAACAGTGCCAAATAGAGTGAATAGAGTCATAAAACAAAGAGGAAAAGATGTATCATGTAAGTAAGTAAAACTCAGTTGCTTTTATTTTACATTAATACCTCAAGAGGTAATAACATTTTATATTTTCATGTTCACTTCAGGCTTAACAACTTTGCCTATGTAATGAAGAATAACTTCTCTTCCTAAACCAAGTTTTTTTCCTTTTTTTTAATCATTTGCTGATTTTTCAGTTAGTAGAAGATATAAACATAAGCACAGGCACCAAGGCAAGGTTCAGACAGCAAACCACAGCCCAGTCTCCTCCCCGTCATGTTTTTGAAAAGAAGTAAAAAAGGGCCTACAGCCATCATGCAGAGGAGTGCATGCACGGAGAACAGTAGTGCTCTGTGAATGAAGGAATCTTCTGTGAATAGAGTGCTCACCTAAAACAGCAGCTGAAACAGCAGCTGAAGCTTTTCTTTAATCCATTTCATGCAGTGAGAACTAATATACTACCACGCCACTCTGCATGCCATGTCTCGCTTTTCTGTCCGCAGATTTTCTTTTCCAGAAATGTGATTTGAGATGCAAAGCTGTAAACAGCTGTGTAAAGAAACCCTAAATGTGATACCAAATTCATACTGTAATTTTGATTTACTATCGGAAACTCTTTTCGTGTCTCAGTTGTGAAGTCACTAGACCTGAACCAGAGACTTTCAGTGAGAAGCCTATGCTGATGTGGGAGGGAGTTTAGATGTTTAGCTTTGAAATGTATAAATTCTAGTCAAGGAAATATGTTCTTCTGCACATTGATTTCAAGCAGCAATATGTGAATTTCATCTTATTATGGAATTAATGTTTTATGTTGTGCCCTTTTGTTTACAGCTATTAAAAACCAAGTCAGTGGAAACTTTATGTTGAATATTAAGGGCAAGGACAGCAAATCAAGGACCTTTTTAGAAATGGGGCTAGAGTGGGAGTACACCATTGAAGAAGGCAAGAAAAGTGTGAAAACTACTGGTCCACTTACTGAGCCTATAGTGATTTTGGTAAGCTATGAACCACATTCCATGAATATAGATCCTGTTTCTTTATACAGATTTATTAAAAAATAGATTATAAAAGAGGAAAAACAGTGCACAAAAAAGATCATGAAACAGATATTCAGTCATAACAAGGTACATCTTCCAAGTATAAAATTGTATGTAATCCAATGCTAGGATGCTCTAGAGGGTGCCATGGGTCACTCCACACACTCCCCTCGACACCACAAAGTTAATTCTTAAAAAACAATGCTCACTATTCTAAGGAGCAGCCATTATATAAACAGAACCATTTTTATAAAGAAGGCAAGTAAAGCCAGTAAAAAAGGGGTAGAAAAGGCAGCAGAGGAAGAGCACAAAAGAAAGTAAAGGTACAGTATAGAAAAAGTAAGAAAAAAGCAGAGAATGAAATGAAGCCAAGACACAAGTTAGACACAGAGAAAACTGTAAAGAAGGTAAGAGGGCATTCCCATCAAGTTTGTCCAATCCAGAGAAGAGAAACAAAGAAACAGGACCGCACCAATGAGCATAATTTCACTCATGTAGCAGAATCTTGTATTCAGAGGTAGAGGAGAACTTATTCCAATGTAGCCATTTCCTAAAGTACTTATTGTGCGTGCCCTTATGACAGGAATGACATCTTTCATTCTTTGAATCTCATTAAGATAATCATTTTTTAATCCTAGCAAAATCAGATGACTTTTGTAAGTATCAAGATGCTATCAAGCATCAAGTGAGTATAAAGGGTAGCTTATTGTTCTCCAGAGAAAACACAGGCAGCAAGGGTATATGCACTGTGATGGCTTAGCAACATACAAATGCATAAAGCTATGTCAGACCCACAGCGAGAGTCCACAGACCTTTGTGATTTCAGGGCTTCACCCCAGCCAAGTGAAACCTTGGCAAGAGTGCTGGCCAGAGAGTTCACCCTCACTTTCACTGGCCAGGACTCAGAGCCCAAAATAGTCAGCATCCAGTCTCCTGTCCTACACAAAAGCTTTTCTGAAACCTTTACCGTGAAAACCATCAAAGCCTAGATACCCAGGCCATATTCTGGGTCACCTGGAGCTGTTTTCCCGCACATAGATTTGCACTCACAGAATGAGCATAAAGATTGTGTCTCTTAAGTAAGAAAACCTAATTTAACATTTGGAATATTGCTTATATTCCAATTGACATCTACATAAATTATCTTTGAGAAAATGTATTTTAAAATGTATTTATACAAGATAATTATCCCAGTTTTCTAACTTTTTAATCTGCATTTGATGGATAACACTATTCAGTAGGGATGTCCCGATGCCACTTTTTCAGGCCCAAGTACAAGTACAAGTACATCCCCTAATTCAGTCAAGCTGCTTTAAAGTAAATGAGATGGCAACTGGGCAATGTGAGTAAAGTAGAGGTGAAGATGTAAAGGCATATTACTTGAAATATGGAATTACTAACTGCATTGAATCCCTGTGAATTACCATATGTGCTGTGTCTCAGATAGTCATCATTTACCTTCTTTTGTCTGCCTATAGTGGGCTAGAAGATACAGACAATAACTTTATAACTATTCAGGGCCAGCCTTAGGCCTTTAGGCGCCCTGTGCGAGAAAGCTTTACAGCGCCCCTCATCAGTTTAGTGTTATCAGTGATTGATAGCCCTACAATTATTGCTCTCATTCCGACGTTCGCAGCGATATGTAACATGTGCGGCGTAATGGGCGAAATCGTCGTTTTCACACGTATGAGCACCCGACGCCTGTTTGCATGCGTGTATGTATGGGGGGACTTTAAAAAAAAATTTAATTCTTTTTTATTTGTAACTTTACATTAATCCCTAACTGTGGTGTATTTTTTTTGTTTGTTTTGTTACTGTCATATTCTGCGTTTACTTTTATGCTTCCGAATGTTACAGAAAAGCATTAATTTCCTTTTAAAATAGGTATGGAAGCTGACCTGCAAAGGACATTCTGCCCTGCATTTGCTTGCAATGTATAGACATTGTCCTTCCTATGTGTAGGTGCCTGCGGCAAATCTGCTTTAACTTAGCCAGTAGACTAAGAAAAAATCCAATATTCTGCTAATCATTTGTGCCGTAAAAAGAGCATCAAAGTAGCTCTTGACCACAAATGATTTCATACAGCTGAATCAATATCTTCATTCTTTTTAGCAGAAAAATAGATGTATGTATGTCAAGGTAAACTATATTCTATTTATACATTTTCACTTTATTTTCTACAAGTCATAGATACTAGATATTTAGGCCATTCATATTTAATGTATTTGCTTATACACATACTTATTTTATGTGGACGTAAACAGTAAAATATATCAAATTCTCTTTTGGGTATGAACTGAATATTTTTTATAACTGATTTTATTATTTAGAGTTCCACCCAGTAGAAAGCCCATTACAAGTCACACATTACTTGCCGAGTTCTACAATAATTTCATATTATATAATGGAAAATATGAGGAAAGATTGACATCCATTTGGACTCTAAGGGGTCTATTCACAAAGCTGCCGAAGGATCTGGCCGTAGCTTCGGCTGATCCTTCGGCTAGCTTCGGCCCCAGGACCCCTTGGGTTCAGGAGAACCTGAGGGGGTGCTGTACGGGCTATTCACAATAGCATATGCCTCGGCTCGGCTGAGCCCTGCTGAAAGCCGAAGCTGGCCGAGCGGCCGGCCATCGGCCGGCCGACAGCCTGCTTCTGACAGCTGGGCGGAGCCAGCCGTGATCTTACGGCTGGCTCCCGCCCCCTTCAGAAGCTTTGTGAATAGACCCCTAAGTGAACCTTTCCTGACAGAAACACAGAGACTGCCATTACTGACCTCTTTTTAAGAATGTCTCATCCAACCACCTGTTGAAGCACATATCTAAAGGTTAAACCAGCCAACTCCCAAGTTGATTTACCTCCTATTAACCCATAGAAATGTACAACTTTTTTCTTACCAGCATTAAAGTCTCATTAAAGGCCAGATGAAGAGGGAATGTTATAGCCCCCAGATATGTTCGCTTGATACCTTTGGACTTCAATTATGAAATACTCTTGGACCCCTAAACCTTTGATGTGGCGCTATTGTTGTTTCTGTATTGAACCAATGTGTCTTTTGAGGTCCTTTCATTTTGGGGAGCTGCTTTACCAGAGTCATTGGCCTGCAATAGCCACTTACCTTCAAATTAAGAATATAATCTAACTCTGGGTACAGCACATCTTATCCAAACTTTTTTAAGATTGCTAAGAGTAATGACAGGTGTATTTAAGAGGACTATAAAAAGAGCAAAGTTGCTTTTAGCAGTGAATCAAAACTCACTTTAATCAATTTACAAAAAAAGTCAGAAAATTTCATAATGCTTGATTGATTGTTTAAGAAAAAACTCAGTATTCAAGTTATCAAAAAAGATATGCTGAAATTCTCTTTGCTTATGTAATTACAATTCAATCTCGAAATATTAAAACACATTTCTCTTTAGCAATTAGCAGTAAAGTTATTGTGATCTGCTCCATATGATACATAATAATTAGTGTTATTTGTCTCCTTTATATTTGTTATGCAAATTCTTGGTAGTCTATCAAATCAGTGCTTTATTCTGTTGCATTGCAGGTTGTGCCACAAGAAGATGAACCGAAAAGCAGCCTAACATATAAATATATAATTCATGAAGATCTCTTACCAATGATCGGAAACAATAATGTACTTTTGGAGGAAATGGACTCTTATGAATGGGCTCTTAAAAGTTGGTCTCAATGTTCTAAAGCGTGTGGAGGAGGTATGCACTTCTAAAAAAACGGAGTCTTATCTTTACAGGGCTTAATAGAAACTGAAAATAGGAGAAAAATGCATGGAAGTGTCTACCAATGTCTCATTGTCAAGAGATCTAATAGGCATACAGCTTTTGTATTCAAGTAATAATTTTGCACATATCTGCCAATATCCAACTGGTGGGTGAGTGTTCTTCATCTGCTTGTTTTTTTGTTTGAGTTGGAGTCTAAGGAATAAAATGCAACAAGCAAAGCGTAAGTTAAAGATAACAATAAACATATCCCATGCTGTCTGGTGACAACTGTAAAATGTTAGACTCTGCCACTTTCTGTATAGTTAACAATGTTATCCAAAACAAATAGAGAGGGTGAATATACCTAGCAGATACCCCCCCCCCCCCCACAACAAAAAAAAAATGCTGGT